TCCAACCCAAACCATTCTATGATTCTAATGTCCTATTTAATTCCTTCCTCAGATACTCTTCATCCCCAGAGATATGTTAGTTTGTAATCTAGCTTATCTCAAGCCTGCCTTAAGGTGCCTTCCAGCTTTTGTCTTCTGTTTTTCCACATTAGTTTATGTTTTAGTGTCTTGTTTGTTTTGAAAATTATCATCGTATAATTTTAAGCAAGTAGTTTGTTTGGCTTCTTCCTGCCTTTCCTGGGGTTAAGCAGGAAAAGCAAGGTTTTAGTTTCCGCTTTGATACAACCTATGTCACTCTGGCCTGTTAAAGGCTATTTATTTGATAGCACTCAACTAAAAAGTGACTTTTAATCATTTACATATAATGTTTGGTTAAGCAATATAGTTCACTGCGAAACATACTTTTCAAAGTTCATGCCTGTTAATTTTCCATCCTTTTGTGTTTTTATAAGTGAGTTGCACTTAAACTGTTTTATCGAGGATGACTTATTCTGAAGTCAACCATGTAACCCCTTGCAACATCATCTTAAAAAACCCTTTCATATGTATTAGTAATGATATTGCTCATGTGCTGATAGGCCTCATACGCTTACAAAATGCAGGATAGTTTTTCAGTTAATTTAGTTTTAAGTACCCATTTATTTTTAAAGTACGTCCTCAATGTATTCTGTCAAAATACTAATCCCACTAGGTGGTAGTATTGCATATGTAATAACTAGAATGGCATCAAGAATGAGTGATTTAGGTCACTTAAAGAACCACTGTCAAAGGTATTAGCAAAAGTAGTTTTAATACGATGTTGTAAAAGTGCGACTAAACCAAGTTCGATGGCAAGGCTCACTCTGTTACTGTATGGCGCAATCATTTGAATAATGATTCAAAGTTACCAAGGCAAAATCAAAGTTACCATATTACAAGGTTATGTGTGGTATCGGTTGCTTACTAAAGATATGCCATTGGTAAGAGGTGTCTTTGCCTTGAGGAGCAACCTTGAGAGGTGTCGCAGCTCAAGAGGAGATCACTGCCATGCAGCCACACTGCCTAGCAGGGAGAGCTCAAAGAAGGCTCACTGAGGCTGTCATATTTATGGAATAAAGTGGTTGGCTAATAGTTAGATTACATGTGATGGGAAAGGTACGCGTGAGACTCCTTGTACCCACAACTTTCTTTGTTCCTTGGTAAATGAGTCTTGGGAAAACCACCTGCTATTCATGTGTCAGTCGCACGATCAGTGTTCCAAGCTCTTGCGCATCAATGCTCACTCTGTCACTCTTTGTGGGTTTTCAGAGAACATATTGAAACTAGAGGAGTTCTTGGCATGGTTATGGCTCAGACCTTTACCTCCTTTGGAGCTTCTACCAAACTACTGCTAGTTTGGTTAAGGGGTCAAGTGGAAAATTTCCACAAATGGAAAGATAGAAAGTGCTCAGCAAACACTGTTTAGAAGGACTGTTAGGAATAAAGGGATATTCTGCACATTCCACTTGTTCCTACTAATAATTTTTATAATTTGTTTTTTCCTTGTTCAAGCATCTTTATTCCTGTAAAGTAGCATGTTTGATTTGTATTTTCTTAAAGTTAGCGTAGATGCTTTCCAAGTCCCAGGAGATCCAAATGGCTGTTGTAAATAGCTGCTTTAATTTACTATTCTGAAAATGTTAATTCTCCTACCCACATATGCCCAATTTGTCTTCTAGGATAAAATGGATCAACTCTTGCAGATGTTACAAAGTGCAGATCCATCTGATGACCAAACAGACCTCCCAGAACTGCTTCATCTTGAAGGTAAGAAAATCTCATAGGTTTTTGTTGTTGTTGTTTTCCTCTTGAGTAATTACCTATATCAAAACAAATTAAAACTAAGCTGAAACTACTTCAGCTTCACGTGTTCCTCTCGAGTAATTACCTATATCAAAACAAATTGAAACTAAGCTGAAACTACTTCAGCTTCACGTGCACACCACAAGCATGTCTGAGAAAAGTGCCTGAGCTGTAATTATCTTCTCACTTCCTGTTTGCCACGTATAAGAGACCGAAATGCAAAATTTTTACTTGAAACAAGCCCACTCCTCTCTCAAGGAAACTATATTCCATATTCTTTTCCTTTTCAAGACCCAGGAGTACTTAATTCAATCTTATTCATCCCTTTTTTTTTCTCCATAGAGTAGCACTGCATGAGTTGCAACAGGGGTGTAAGAAAGATTCCATGAGAGGAAGCAGAAATACTACTGAGGCTTAGAATAGACCTGTGGGTGTCCTACATGCTTTTTTTTTCACTTGCATGCATATTTCTGTAGGACTTTAATATTAGCAAACACCTTATGGATTGCTACAAATTAGACTAGTCCTTTAGACTCAAATTATTCAGACTACCTCTTCAAGGAGGTGTTATAGACTGTTCCCCCTGGGTTGATAGGTAACAGCAAAAATTTCGGAAGGAGACTTTGGAGAAGGAAGTAAAGAACCTTACCATTATGAGACTGAACATTGGCTTAGACTGACAAGTCAAATAGGACCAAACTTTATTAAGAAGCTTGCAAGCTTTTTGGATATCTTCTATAGTTTCAAATCCATCATACCTATAAATGAATCCTGTTTTAGGAACTGCACATCAGTGGCGTCTGCACGTATTCTAGTTCCGCTAAAGCTAAAGAGGGGTAAAAAGAAACATGAAATTTTTTATTCTTTCAAGTACCAAATACTGTTACACAGGCCGTTGTCTGGGAAGCCAATTGCTTATATTTGGTCCAGGACAGAGGCAAAGAAGTGAAAAGTGTGCTTTGTCAGCCAACCTCCAGATATGGTTTACGTTGGGGTCTCCTTTCAAAATGCATTTTGTGATCATTAGAACAATGCTGAATTTTGTATTAAACCGTGAGTCAACTACTAGAATCTGAAAGCTGTAGTGTAGTTGCTCCCCAGCTACCTACAAGAACGCTTGCCATACATATGGCTGTGTATAGTTCTACAATTCTAAAATATTCAAGACTGTACTTGCTCTACACTCAGGTAGACCTTGGTTAGCTACTATTTTTGGCATAGTTTCTGGGAATTTTGTTACCTATGTGTGTTGGATCTTAGGTTCCTATCAGTGGTGGCAGGTGTTGATCAACATTTGACAAAAAAACACTTCATTTGCTTCTGCCATCCAGATGTCCAGTCACAAATGTCTTTAAATTGGAGAGCTCATCCCAACACTTTAAGGAGCCCCGGGGTTTGTGGTCAGTGACAGTGTAGTCATCATGTTAGCATACAGATTGTGTAAGCACTGCTTGTCGTAGTTTTTACCACACTTTGTGCTATACATAAAAATAGGCAGAACTTAAACCAGGTTTTATACCTTTTCCCAGCATTTCCGCCAATGTGTTACTGATCCCAGGTTCAAAGAAGCTGATGGTTGCCTTTCATACAACTCCTCTTTCACATGGACTTGTCTTCAAGGAACACATCAGTGATGCCCTTTCACCTATCATGGCCCAGAGGCTTTCAGGACCTTCTGCATCTCTAATTTGGGAAAACTGGGAGTGAAGACAGTGTTCCAGAGCTGCTTATAATGCATTTAGGTCATCTTTGATGCCTGAATCTTTTTTTTCTCATCTCTGTTTAAATGTTGAGTGACTCTTTGGATTAAACACATCTCTTGATTAGTAAATATTTCACTGCTTGGATAAGTGGGCACATTTTGCATTCTGGAGTAGGATATACTGTAATATCCCCTTTCAACTTTCTTGTGAGTTTATTTTACATTTGACAAACTCAGTCTTTCTCACAGTTAGTTAACTGTGATTTGCTTGGCAATTACATGTACGTCGTGTACTTGTGCTGAAAGTTGGTGGGGGGTGCATTTTTGTTTATTTTAATGCTTTTCACTTCTACTTCTGGTAAGTGTTTGTGTTGGTTTTTGCACATGTTAGTGGTTTGAAAAAGCCCCCTACTCACAGTTAGAATTCCAGTAAGACAGCAATGTGCTATTAGTCTCTCTGATCTGCAGATTATTTGAATCATAGCAACCTGTTTTCCTCTTCATTGTTTTATAGTAATGTTAGTTGAGCATATGGTCTAGGTTGCAGTGGCAAATTTTCTTTCTTGAAAAAGAGATGACCTTTCAGATTTACCTGAACTTTTTTATGCAAAATAGTTTCAGTTTTACACTCCCTGTATGTAAAACATGTTTTGTTTCACTGTATTTTTATTTTCTTTTTAAAATATACTTATTAAACCGTGCCATTGCTGAGGACTACTTCTGGATCTCATTCTTAAATTATTCATGACACTGCCTCTGTTACTGTAGCTTTTTTTGTCATACAGATTATAGTAATGATTTAAAAAAATTTGGACTGCTATCTGTGCATTTCTATCTGATAATTTTTTTTAAAAAACTACTTTCTGACTTGCAGTATGGAAATCTTTATTACTCTCATATATTTTAATGTCCTTCTATTCTAGCAATGTGCCACCAGATGGGACCTCTCATAGATGAAAAGTTGGAAGATATAGACAGGTAAAAAAGCACATGTGTTTTGACTCAAATTATGATTTATTCATAGAAAGAGCACTGTTGTTACTTACTGGTATCTTAATCATTTCTGTGAATACTGGCAAGGAACATAGGTGTATTTATTAGTAGCTTCTCATCTGGGAGGAAGTTTGAAGGGTTTTTTTCCTAGTCACATAATATTTTATAATATTGCACTGTTTGACATTATAACACTTCTCAGGCATCACTTCACAGGCAGTAAGAGTATGTTGCTTATCACACTTCATGAAAGTTTCCCTGTATTGTTTGTTCTGTACTGAAGTTATCCGAAGTGTAGAATAAGCTGTAAAATATATTTTCTAGGAAACATTCTGAACTTTCAGAGCTCAATGTTAAAGCAATGGAGGCTCTTTCTTTGTATAACAAATTGATGAATGAAGACCCAATGTATTCCGTGTATGCAAAACTACAAAACCAACAGTATTATATGCAGTCCTCTGGTGTTTCTGGCACTCAGGTATGTATGTAACCTTTAATAGCCATTGACATTATCAAATACATACTGAGCTATGGTTGATTTATTATAAATTGTTAGTGATAAACAGTTTTTCATGTGAGCACTTTTTTACAAAACTTGCTGAAATATTTTTTTACAGTATACTTCTCTATGTTACTAAAATATAAATATATATATATACTGATATACAAAGCATGGTGGAGCATGTTGATTGCAAGTAATAATGTATTTCATTCTTCTGCCCTGCTGTTCCCCTCCCACTTTGACTCTCTGAGTTGGAAACCTCTTCTTATGATTTCTGTTACCTTAATGCTAGGTTAAAATCATCTTACTCTCTCAGAGATAATCTCAAATAAAAGAGCAGTGTTTTATTTCAACACAGTATGTGAAAAAATATTGTTTGTTTTCAGCTGCAAGCTTTTAATAGTCTTCTTTTACAGGTTCTAACACTTAGTTATTTTGTATTCAGTTCTTTTTGGTCAAGGAAAAAGTCCATCGTTTGCTTTGACTTGCACATAAAATTAAAAATTGAAGCTGCCAGGCTTTTGCACAGTGAGTCAAAGAAATTAAAAAACCAAAGGAGTACAATTCCTGTTAAGAATATGCCCTCCTAACCCTAAAATCTCTTAGTTTCCTTTTTTCAAATATCAGTAGAGAGCATTTAGCATTTAAATTACTGAAGTTAAAAATTATAATTCTTTCATGGCAGTGTTTCCATGTACTTAACTTATCTCTGAGTAGGTCTTTTATCTTATTCAAATACTATGGTATTTTTAAAAGGTCTTTTAAACATTTAAATATTTAATTCTGTAGTGTAATGCACACATACTGTATTCTTTTCCTGTTTATAGGAATATGTAACATTTCAAACTTTTTTCAATAATTTACTTTGAGTGTGTAAAAAAAAAAAAAAAGTCAACTTACTAATGCCTATGCAATATTATATAAACATTGATGCAGGTTTAGTTCTTTTAGCTTCCTAAAAATATGTACTTTCTTTCAGTGTCTTTTAAGAAGAGAATGTATATTTTCACTGTCATTGAGGAATGTTGTCTTCTGTTTGTATATGATAAGCAATCATGTCGTGACCCTATCAAATAATTTTAATATTTTATAAATGGGCATGTGTCTGGGGATTCTTAAAAGGAAAAAACATGATTGTGGGATGAAGATAAGACAGTATAAAATCTGAAAAGTTAGGAGGTCTCATGCCTTTGCTGCCTTCTAAAATTCTTTTGCAATCTTGATAAGGCTTCTGTGAATATGTCACCTGAGATTCATGGATCTTAAGATAGGAGGGCTGTGTATCGTAAACTTATATGAACTTAGTTATGCATTAGACCTGATAATTTCTTCTAATAATTTGTGTTAAGCCAAATAATTCATAGTTGAATAAAAGCATAAGGTTTAGAAATTTATTCTTGATTTGGTATACAGTTTGGTATACAGATTTGGTATACATCTACTAGCGAGCTTTTCCTCTAGTTAGTTGTAAAACATTGCGTAATTTTCAATGGAAATTTTCATAAGACCT